CCGGAAAGAACTGCAGATGGAAAAGTGTCAAATCTGGCTCTGGAAAAGGCCCATCTATGATTTGGGTTGGAAATGTTAGCTAGGTATAAGGGAGCAGACATTAAAGTTTTTGATTTCAGAGATTTATAAAGAGGCGGAAGTGCGGCATAAGATGTTTGTAACTCAATATCTCTGAGATGCTGGTAAACAATGGTTTTTGCCCTAGCATAGCCGCTCTCCAAAAGTTGGTACGGGTCTAATCCTAATGTTCTCAGTTTGTTAATGGCTCTAGTGGACCACTGAGGGTAGGGAGATGCAGCCAGTAGTAAAGGAAATAACCCAGTGGGAAAAAGGTGGACTTTCAACCAAAAACAGAGAGAATGCATCCAAATATCCAGCTCGACTGTATTGAGACCAGCTTCTTGTCTCACCATAACGTTGGGAGTACATCTTGGAGTATTAAATAGGGATCTCAGGAGTTTTGTTTGGACCAATTCTAGCGCCTGAAGATTAGTAAATCGCATAATTTGTGTCCCATGCACCGCAACCCTAGAGTCGGACTCGACTGGCTCTTGAGCAAGGGAAACCTTTACCTTTATTTATTCTATATTTATGTATAGCCGAGGCTATACATCAGGCTGTCTGAAGAGTCCCTAGCCCCTTCCATTGTGGAGATGTGCCTTTTCCACTTATATCTCTCCAAGGAAAGGGTCCGGAGTGTTATTTTTAAGAGAAAGCTGGGAAGTCAAAGAACCTGATAATGTTAATAATAATGATGATGATGATGATGATAGGAGGTTGAGGGGACACATGATTGCTCTCTGGAAGTATTTGAAGGGCTGTCACTTAGAGGAGGGCAAGGAGCTGTTCCTGTTGGCAGCAGAGGATGGGACTCGCAATCATGGGTTAAGGGCGGGAAGGTACCGGCTGGATAGTAGGAAAAACGTTAGTACAGTAGGAGTTGTGCAACAGTGGAATTGGCTGCCTCAGGAGGTGGTGAGCTCCTCCTCCCTGGCAGTCTGGACAGCGGCTGGACAGACACTTGTCTGTCCCTCTTGAAGCCGTCCAGGGATACTGTAGCCTGATCCTGCATCGAGCAGGGGGTTTCACTAGATGGCCTGTATGGCCCCTTCCGACGCTGTGATTCTATGGTTCTAATTGCTGATTTTTTTAAAAAAAAAAAAACACTGAAAAGGCCCAATGGCCAATGCAGGGACAGAAACATACAAAATGGCTGCCATGTGGGTAGGATTGGGAAAATCCAAACGTTCCCATCCACATGGTAGCATCCAGGTTTTGCTTTCCCAAAGGTCAGGGAAAAGCCTGGGGAACTCGAGGAGGTGCATGAATGCACCACATGGCTGTGGGGAAGCAGGTATCCAGGTCAAATAACCTCTGTGGAAACAGCCATCATCTGTTAACGGAGTAAATTTTTGTAGGTTTGTAATTTAATAGCCGATTATTATTATTTTTAGATGAAGTATGGGGTTTTCTAATCCATGTGCTTGCTCCTGAGCTTTGAAACAATGAAATACAAATCAAGAGCATTAAATAAATATTATGATAATGTTGCACCTAACCTGAGTTTTTTCCATAGGCAAACATAGGACTGTATACAGTATTGACTGAGTCATTTTAAACAGGTTTCTAATCTTGGCTTGGAAAAAATGGGCCCTATTTCTCTCCTCTTTCCTTCCCCCCCATAAATTCCCAACCACGTTCAAAGTGTCCTTTAAAAACAATGCAGTTTTGTACTTAACCTAGGAACAGGATCTATTGAACACAGTGAAACTTCTTACTGAGCATATATAGGGATCAGTCCACCAGCAAGTTGCCCCTTTTCCCCAAGCTTCAAGGATTTCTTTATTAACAACTTAGAACAGTGGTTTGTTGTCTTTTTCAGTTGACCGTCCAGCCATTGAACCTTCTGACTATATCACCGTTCCTCCAAAGCACCCAGACAAGATGGGATTTGATGAGGTAATCAAAGGGCACCTGCCTTTGTGGGCCGACTTGTGGAAGGGTGTTGCTTAGTGAGTAAAGCCTGTTCATTGCATGCTGAAGGCCCCGGGTTGAGTCCTTGGCACCGCCAGTTAAAAGAATCAGGTAGTCGGTGACCTGAGGCCCTGAAGAGCCAGACGGTACTGACCTGGGTAGACCAGAGGTCCAGAAGGAACCTTTGTTCAATATTTGTGAGTTAAAAAGGACAGAGCGATCTCAAAGTAGCTGTTGCAATAATTAAAACTGGTGGCCACTTGGTTTTACACATCAAAGACACAGCCTAAATGGCTTGCAGTGGACTTGTTTTGTTTTTGCATTGTGTGCAAGAGAGTTTCTATCTGCCATCAGGTTTTGCTTTTCAGTATCGAGCTTCAGAGATCTATGTTTTCAATTCTAGATCTAGTCATTGGTATTTGGTTTTTAGTGCAGTGAGGCCACGTTGCTACTTCCCGACATTGTGGCAATACTTTAAACAGGGGTGTGAAGATGATGTTCTAATGTGGTCCATGAGGCCACCGTTCAGATCAAAATAAGACACTGAATGCCATCTTCAAAGCAAACAGCAATGAATACCAAATGCAGTTCTACAAAGGGTAAAAACCGCCACTATAAGGGAATCACATGACGCAGGTAAAGAAGACAGACGTCTTAATTTGCACAGGATATATGGGGCGCACACAACCCAAGATTTATAGCTCTATTTCTCATGCCCTTTTATATCAGGCTGCCCTTTTAGATTTACAGTCACTTTCTGGGATCTTCAACTTGACTCCAATAATCTGTTCTGTAGGGAACTGTGCACAGATCCTTGCATGGGGTCATGTCGTCCAGCTTGCTACTGCATGCAAGTCTTTCTGGTCTGAGATAAAACCCCCACACTGAAATTAGAAGCAGGATTATCTCTGAAGCCCCTCTTAAGATCTAAACAAAAGGGCGTCATGAGGACAAAGCTCTTTCTGAGTTCCCTTCTTTCCAAATCACACTGGGATGATGGAACTGTAAGTTTGCAGTCACCCTGTCAAATCCAGTGTGTATCAGTGATGGTCCACTACTTGGGGCTGGGGGCGTTTGGGCTAACCAGGGCTGGCGGAGAAGGCACAACATACCTCAGGATCCCGTCCATCCCAGGACCCCAAAGAAGACCCCTCCAGCGAGTGGACTACCTTGCCCATATTATCCTGCAGTGCCCTTATGTGCTCCAGTGTAGGCTAAAATGGATTATGATTATAAAATTGATACATGGACTATGTTTCCTCTGACGACATTAGAGCAAAAGGTTCAATTCCTCTTAGAGGATTCTGATTCTAGACGTAAGAACACAAGAGAAGCCAATGTTGGATCAGGCCAATGGCCCATCCAGTCCAAAAATACCAGATGCCATCAGGAGGTCTACCGGTGGGACCAGGACACCAGAAGCCCTCCCACTGTTGCCCCCCCCCCAAGCACCAAGAAGACGGAGCATCACTTGCCCCAGTAGGGAGCTGAGTGCCTAACTCTTCACTCCTGAGCAAAGTTACACCCTTTTAAGGATTGCTTAGGATGGCGCTATAATTTGACCAGCCCTGAGGTATCTTCGTTTACGCTGGTTGTATAATTAAATATAGAAATAGTGCCTGGCTGTGTGGAAGGTGCACTGTATTTGAAGCCTGTCCCGTCTGTCTGATTGATATTTTTAAAGCGTGCTGTTCCTTATGTGGCTGTTCTTTGATTTCCCAACCTTATTTATTTGCACCCCGCTTGGAGGAAATGCTGGAGCGCCACCGGCTGGATTTATATTTGTCTCGGTATTGCTACTGCCCATATCTCAAGGCTGCGCTTGTTCTTGCTTGCCTTTGAACCACAAGCTCGGCCTGAGGCCCCCGGCCATTGGTGTGTGTTCAGTCACACTGAATAGTTTGTCTTGGGCAAGGTACTTCCCAGCAAACTTTTCCTTCCAGCGGCTTATTTTGCTTTGTAGGTTGGAGTTCTTCCCAGGTTTAGACAAGATAGCTGCCAATAGGCTTTTAGCCATCCTCTGCACAGCTGAACTTAGATCCTGCCATTGCTGTGGTCTGTAGATACAACAATTGCAACTCTGCCCAGCAGAGATATGAGTTCTGCCAGATGCTGCCTGTAGATTTGTTTTTGTCCCACCCTTCCTCTAAGGAGCTCAGTGTGGGGCACACAGCTCTGTGGTGTCTTCCAAACAACCAAATAAGTGGATTGGAGTGGCCAGTCTAAGGCTATAGTATAAGTTTATTGTCTTAGCCATTGGCCATAACATAATACATCAGGTCATAAAATGGTAATGTAGACAATACAAAAATATCAGTATACTCCTATACTACTTCTAGTAAAAGGTAAAGGTTCCCTTGCTCGAAAGCCAGTCGAGTCTGACTCTAGGGTTGCGGTGCTCATCTCCGTTTCAAAGCCGAAGAGCCAGCGCTGTCCGAAGACGTTTCCGTGGTCATGTGGCCGGCATGACTAAACACCAAGGTGCACGGAACGCTGTTACCTTCCCACCAAAGTGGTACCTATTTATCT